TCAGTTGAAAACCTTAAGAGCAAAAAACTGGAGGCTTCCCAAAGAAGAACTATTGCCTCAAGATTGTAACGTCAAATCCTGCCTCAGTCTCCCACCTGCTGGCTCGCCCTGTGTCTTTTAGACTTGCCAGAATCACATGAGCCAGTTTCTTTAAATAAATCACGAGCCAATTTCTATAAATAAATCTAAGATACATCACATATATGTGATAGTATCTTATTTACACAATAGATATATAATATATTATCTATATCAATCTATCCAGGTACCTCTATTTACCTTTCTCCTATTGGTTCTGTTTCTTTGGAGAACCCTGAGTGACAGAGAAAGATAGATTGTCCCTGCCCCCACAGGGGGGAGAGTCTCTCTCTCTCACACACACATATACACACCAGCATTCACAGTGCAGAATCACACATTACAGATTTATTCTATGTGCCAAAGGTGTGAGGCTGTCTAGAGCTCTTTATTCAAATGCCAGCAGTGCCCTAAACACCTGGTGAGAGGAAGAAAGTGCTGAAACGAGATATACTGTTACCAGGAATAAATGTCTTTCTGGTTCCTCCAGGGAGGCCAGAATAATGAGAAGAAACCCCACCAGTAGGTGATGCTCATGTCATTTAGAACCGACCATGCCTGGGAAGCATGAGTGCAAGAGACCATTGAGGAAGTAGGTGGGGGAGGGATGCATCAGAATGCAGGGTGAGCTGGACCAGTGTCTCTAGGGCTTCTCCCCATTCAGTGAGGACTTGGTTCAAGTGCCAAATTATGAAGATGCCTTCAGAGTGTCATCATATATGGGTGCTTGTCTTAGTGGTGGGAATGAACTCCGTCAGCGGTCTTAGAAGCCTGGGCGTGGGATTCTGAACATGTAACCTTGCAAAGTCAGTGGTGAGAGAACTGAGCAGTGCGGGGAAGGTAATAACAGAGTGCTGGGGAGCAGGCAGGTAGCTGCTGCCTCCCACTCTCCTGGGGAAGATGTCCGGGAGAATCTTTTTCAACATTACTGTCTCCGTGTCTATCGGAAAGGTGAACTGTGGCCTCTGCTCTTTGTCCGCTCGGTTCCATCTTCCTTCTCCAAGGAGGATTAACGTTTATTAGCTTAGAGGTCTTTTCAAAACCTGCTCCTAGTTTCCTCCCTGTAGAGAGAAGAGGTTTTATATCTGGGGAAAGCCTAGATCATATATTGGTTAAGTGACACTTGACTTGCTGAAGCAAACCAAAGCAAACAAAAAGTGCTCAGTCTTTACTCACAAATGCAAACAATACAACCCATTTGTGTGTACCCTCATATTAATCTGAAATTAAAAAAAGAGTAACTGGGGCGGCGCCTGTGGCTCAGTGGACAGGGCATTGGCCCCATATACCGAGGGTGGCGGGTTCAAACCCAGCTCTGGTCAAACTGCAACAAAAAAATAGCCGGGCATTGTTGCTGGCGCCTGTAGTCCCAGCTACTCAGGAGGCCGAGGCAAGAGAATTGCCCAAGCCCAGAAGTTGGAGGTTGCTGGGAGCTGTGACGCACAGCACTCTACCAAGGGTGATAAAGTGAGACTCTGTCTTTAAAAAAAAAAAAACAGTAACTGCAAAATGGATACTCTATTAATGGCGTCTTCACAATTTGGTTCGTTGTTGCTAAATGGGTCTTGCTATTAGATTATAAAATTCTTCCCCAAGTTGTCTTTGGTTAGAGTTTTGCTCAGTGCCTGCTATGGTTAAAATGTGTATAATAACCATTTGTATCTGTATACTTGCTGGGAACTCTGGTTGAAAAACCAAAGGGTTTTAGAAGTGAAGACCCAAGTCACTGTGTGCTTCTTTGTGAATGATCGGGCTACTTTGTATTAATCGAATGGTGTCATAGATAGTTTGACCTTCAAAGATGATAAATGAGCAGTTACTCTGGGGCTAGAATAAGGGTTCCGTGGGTCATGGACTTGTTTTTCTGTATCAGGGAGGTAATGCCCATTACCATAGGGCTGGATGGTATCATAATTGCTATATAGCTCCAACACTATAGTTCTGGGACACTGTCTCTTTGCTATAAAAAGAGCACCTCTTAATTCTGCTATCTTTGATCTTATGTCACCTTGTAAGCTACCGAAATTCTCCTGGAAACAAGGCAGAGCGGTAACTGCACACGTGTGGGTCTGTGCATACGTGCCCGGGTTAAGTCCACAGGCAGCTTTGTGCCTGGGGTCCTTGTTGGTGCACTGTGTTAGAGAGCCTGGGTGTAACGCTGTGTAGTGTGATTACAGCCAGCAAAAATAAAAGAGCCAAGAATGGGAAGGCCTTTTGACATACTCTACAGTGGACAAAACCCCAAACCATACAGCAGGCGGCTGTGTAACGTGCCCTGGTGGCGAGGAGCCGCTCCACAAAGGAGGAAAGTGAGTTTTTTCTTCCTTTTTTTGCCTGAAATCACTTAGAGATAATTAAGGGAAACTTTTGAGCATCAAAATTAGATAGAAACTAGAGATCATTAGACTCCTTTATTCTCTGCATTTGCTAAAGTTCATGATAAAAAGAAAAATAGATTGTAGATACTCTGCCTCCTTTTACTCTTGGTCTCTTAGGGGAATTAGGTGCTGAAACCCTCTTTATCCCACTCTGCAAAATAGTTTTCTGCATCCCAGATAGGAGAATACTTGTTCTATTAGAAAACAATACAACAACAAACCCGTGGGCAAAGAAATTTAATATCAATAACTCTGGTTTATTCCGTGATCTGGAAATCCTGATCTCTGACATGATTTAATTGTTTTCTCCATCAGTTTATTTTTCTTAACTCATTTTTATTGACTAGAATATGTTATCATAAAATGAGTAAGCTTCACGTACAACTCATAATTTTTTACGAATGTATATACACGTGTGGCCACTGCCTAGCGTCTTAGAAACTTCTCTCATACTCTTTCAGGCAACACCCAACTCTGGAGGGCGGTTGTCATCCTAATGCCACCAACATAGATCAGTATTTCCTGTCTTTGCCCCCCCCATCACTGATGCGGGTACCACATCATCCCTTGTTATCCCTCCCACGCCTTTCCATATCTTTGTTAAGCTCTATCCAAATAATGCAACTTGAGCAGATCATCTGTTCCCTGCTAGAACCCTGATTACTACAGAAGTAAGAGAAAACGAATTTTCTCGGCAGCTTTTAAAGGAGCTTTGAGAATGAGTACCAGTTTCACCAGTGGCCATAACCTTGTTTTGTCTACTCATAAAATGTGCCTTGGGCTAAACCTGCCTGAGTGTAGCAAAGAAGCTCTATCTTTCTTTGTTCTGGTATCATTTAAAATTATCAAGGGACTCTTTATGGTTTAAAAAGTAAGATTGTAGCCTCAAAGTGTCTCCTTAAAGGTCCACAAGCATTTTAGCCTTGAGTTATTTTTCACATTCTGACTTAGTAAGTTGATAATGGATGCGGCAGTGTTTGGGCCGGTGTCTCGAGAAACGTCCACAGCACCGCCGGAGGATATTAGGAGGAGAGGTGAGAGTGTCACACTGGAACAGACTTTAAAGTAGTAATGAAATTGCTGCTGTTTGAAAAATTAGAGTTAAACCACTTCTGGGGACAGCAGCCTGAAGCCACAAGGAAGGAGAGAGCATTATATTATACTAATTCTTCAGCAGAGTCTTACATTGAAATTATTTAACTCCTCTTTTGACAGTTTGGTTATTTAGTTGTCTGCTTTAGGAATTAATTTTTGGAATGACATCTGTAAAACTGGTGAGGACTGCTGAATTTCTTGCACTGAAATAGAAATCATGTCCAGAATGTCATTTGGTGACAGCAGTAATTAACTGGAATCACAGATCAGATTGTGCTGACAGCAGAAGAACTCTTTGAAGCTTAAAATGAGGAAGTCATTTCTCTGAAGGTGCGTGCTAAAAAAAAGAGAGAGAAAGTCAGTAGCAAATGAAATAGTAAATAGAACGGATAGCACATAGTTTTAAGTGAGGTTTTACCTTAAAAAGGAAGGGAATTCTGCTACCATCAGTTTACTTTTGAACTGGACAAAGCTACTATGAGTCACTTCTGTGTGTGCCGCACTGAGTCACCTCTGTCGTCTCCAGGGTCGCCTAGCACAGCTGCTGATTCTCTCTCTCCAGTTGCTCCTTTGAGTTACTGTCCAATGACCGTCCGTGTGGCATCACGACCTCCCCAGCTGAGATCACGCCGTCTCTTATTCTAGAATTGGCAAAGTGGTGGCCATTAGACACATTGGTTTATTCCACACATTATTTTTAAAAAATTGTTTAAAACTGGGAGACACAAATTTAAAAAAATCTCAGTTTCTGACTTTTCTTGAAAATGTGATGACCTGAGATCTGTGGGCCCTCTGGTTCCTGCACGGTGACACCAGGCTATGGAGGGGGCATACACTCAGCAGAGAGCCATGGGGTCGCCTGACCAGCGTCCCTCGGTTATGCGAGTCACCTGGGCTGTGATACTGGTTCTAGTACCAACTGTGAGGAAGAGAAGTAATTGATAATGTTTTTTCTGTCTGGGTGTTTTTGATAGAAGAAGCTCCAGAAGTCCAGAGACCTTGTCCAATCATCTTAGTATATCCCCAGTGTCTTGCAAATGTGTGTGGAATCGCAAAGAATTCTCCCTAGGAAGAATCTGGCGGTGGTATGCAGGATGCTTAAAGGAGGATGCAGAATGTTTGAAAGAGGATATAACTGTAAGGAAGGCTGGGGACATAGACTAAGATGGTGGCACTTGGAAAAGAGAGAAAGAGGTGGCCCTGAGAGACAATTTGAATCCCTGGATTTAGGGACTGACAGGCTCTGAAGGAGAAAAGGCAGGAAAAGTCTGTAATGTCAAGTAGTGGTGCCGTCCATCCAGGTGTTAGGGTGTCAGGTGAAAGTCCCCAGATCCCTTCTACTATCCCAGCCCCAACTTTTTGACATGAGAGGAATCTGCAGCCTCCTTATACTGATTCAGTGATGCTAACAGCTTACTTAGAATTTTCCCCTTGTATTTTTCATCCCAGAGCTAAGACCATTAAGAATACAGTCTCTGTGAACCTGGAACTGACGGCAGAAGAATGGAAAAAGAAATATGAAAAAGAGAAAGAGAAGAACAAGACTTTGAAGAACGTTATCCAGCATCTGGAGATGGAGCTAAACAGGTGGAGGAATGGTAAGGAAGAATGAGGCGGGAGTGTGTGCCTTCTTTTTCTTGTGGCCGTTGGCATCCCGGGAGACACTTAGGAAGGTAAGGATGATGGCCGGGCTTGATCCCGCCACGCAACAACCTGTGCAAACAAGCAGATGGTTTTCTCATTCCCTCACGCGGGCCAGTCCCCGCCCTGTCACTGGTCAGCAGACAGCGTTCCAGGTGGGCAGGTAACTGTTGGCAAAGCTGCCTTCATTTGCTTCCAGGGGCGTCCTCCTCCCATTACTGTCATTCACTGTCTGGTAGTCCTGTTCTAGGTGTAGAGGACAGGGCCTGAGGCTCTGTGGCTCAGATTGCTTTTGACAAGATGAAAAATGTCATTCTCTCCTATGTGAATTTAATCATTGATTTGGGGTTAAATGTCACATCTGGCAAATATTTGCTCTCCCCGCCCCCAACTCATCTTCACGCTGTGCTTCTCAGAGCCAGAAATAGAGGGTTCCTGAAGGAGCTCTGTGCGAAAATGGAGCCTGAAAGGCTTGGTTCGTGACTAGTTTTCCTTTTCCCCCAAAACATTCTCTTTGGTTTGTTCTACTAGGAGAAAATATCTCAGAGTGCTGACGTGCAGTGGGTGGGTAGGTGGTGGGTGAGGTGTTAGAGGGGTTTCCAGATCCAAGTGCAGACAGGTTATTTTAGTGATTTTAGCAGCATTGTGATGGAGGTTAGAAGGTAGAAGTCTATTTTTTTTTGAAACTAAAATAAGGCAGGCTGGTGTGTGTTGGGGGGGTGGTGGCAGATATTTGGAAGTTGTCCTTTGGGTCCTCTGCTGTGGCACCCTGCATTTATTTCAGGTGCTGCAGCAGACCCAGCTTTGGGGAAGGGTAGGACCCGGGGCTGCTGGGCAGGTTCCGGAGGTAATGCTGCGGGTTTGGCCCTCAGAGCCAGCAGCGCTCTGTCTTGCGAGTCTGTGTTTGCCTCTGCTTCTTGCTAGTAAGGGTGGGGTGTCAGTGAGCTACTGTTTAATAGAAAAACAATTACGTGGCATATGAGAATCCGAGAAGAGTTTCTAAAAACGACCTAGTAGCCTAAATAACATGATTCTGTTCTTTTTGGAAGATTTTCTAGCTGCACACGTGCCTTGAAAGCTGCTAGAAGAATTGAATAATTCAGCACCTGGGGCTGGTGGATGGTTCCTTGCGATTTGGCAGAAGTAGGAGTGTAGGGAGGAATGGTTGCAGGGTGGGGAGCGGCCACATGAAGTTTTGTTTTATTTCTGGAATCTTCTGTTCTGTTCTCTGGGCGATCAGGACATGGGATACTTAGTAAAGCCTTTTGGTAAATGGTCAAGAGATTTGTCTTGGAAACATTGTGGAGGAGGCATTCACCTTGTTTTTTTCATCCTTTTCCATCCCCAGCCAAGCTCTGACCTTTTAGCATGGCACCTGCCATCAGACACTGTCCCCTGTCATCTGCCCCCCTGCCTTGTTTGCCTGGCTCATGCTCATGCCCAGCGTCTCTTGTGGACACTCTGCCCCACTCTCAGCCTGTTCACTTAGCATCATTTTAACTTTTGTTTCATTTCCTATGCCTTGCCCATCTACTCACACATGTACTGTTTTTGCATCCTGTTGGGCAAGATCATACTTAGGGCCTTATGGTTTCTGGCACATAATTGGCCTTTCATAAATGATTGTTAAATAAGCATGTGTTTAATGCAGCTGCTGGCAGTTAAAGGGGTGAACAGTGAGATGTGGTTTCTGCCCTCAGGATGCTCAGGGGAGAGGTCGATGCCAGTCACCATCAATACACGTGTGATGATAATCTGTGCTACATCCGAGGGGGGAGGTCTGAGGTGCCCGGTGCAACAGAGGACTGAGAGGCCTGTGAGGGTTCCCTGGAAATCACAGAGATTCAGATTTTAGAACCGATAGCAGTTTGGGAGTGACATAGGAGGTGGGAGGTGGCAGTGGGGTGCAGGGAGAGAGAGCTCCTTGTACAATGGCCCCAAGCAGACCAGGAAGGCCAGCATGGGCATTTGGGGAGGGAGCCTGGGCCTGAGATGGGCTGGGGTGACCAGTAGCTCTCCTGTGCAGGGTCACACAGTCCTCATTCAGGATTTTGATCATTATCTTGGAAGCAATGAGAAGCATTCAAGGGTGTTAAGCTGTAGACCATATGATGAGACTTGCATGTTTGATGATCCCTGGGCTGTTTGGAGAATGAACTGGAAGTGGGAGAGGGAGCCAGGAAAGACAAAGGTCTTCCAGACCAGATATTACATGGTAGTTGAATTGAGACAGGGCAGTGGAAAGGGAGAGGAATGGATGGACCCGAGGGGTATTTAGGAAGAGAAATTAGGGTTTGGTGAAGAGTTGGCTATGGGGACAGAGAGGCTCCTGTTTTCCTGGCTTGCCAGGTTGAATGGTGGGTAGGACCACTCCAGGAGATGGGGAGCCCTGGAGAAGACCCAGGCTGGGTGCAAGGGAGATGAGGAGAAGAGTTCTCCTGTGGAATGTCCTGGGGAAGTTTCATGTAAGAAGTTAGGTCCAAGGGTTTGGAGATCAGCAGCGATGCCTGAGCTGGAGTCGTCGACCTTTAGGTGCAGCAGGGTGGGGTTACCTGTCTGGAAAGAGAATAAGGAAGAAGAGAAAAGGGAGAACATCCAGAGAACCCCCTTTCGCCCCATCACCACATCGCCACTGAGCAGTGGCAGGAGGGGCTGGAGGGCCACTGTAGAGTTCTCCATTACTCCCAAGCTGATGTTTGTATTTTAAGAGAGATTTTTCTGGAAAAGTTCTTAAATGTGGAGAAATCAACTCTAGCAATAAATATTTCAGGTGAGAAGGAGGGTACTAGGGGACAGTGCAGAGCAGTGGAGTGGTCCTTGACTAGATAGGAGTGCAGAACTATTTCTGAGATTAATTGAAGAACTCATATGATGTTCCAATGTACCTCCAGGGGACAGCAAACCAAGCCTGGCTTTTTGTTATGTCCTGAGGCTGTGCATTTAATCCTTAAGTAGCCCTTGAGGTTTGAACAGGCTAGAAGACTCCCCCAGGGGGTCAGTCTCTGGTGGAGCAGCATCTGACCACAGGGTGCCCAAATCCTGAGTTCATCCTTTTGTCTGTGCAGCCTGCACATAGAGCTCCCAAAAGTGGTTTGTGTGCAGGGCAGTTAGATGAGTGTGCAAAGCACCACACCACAAAGGGAGGGGAGCAGAAGCTCTTCAGTGCTGTCCCTGGGGGTCAGTCCTAATTCTCAGGAGCAGAAGTTCTGAGGGCGCCGCTGGTGTGCATAAAGTTGAGAGCTGGGATTTGGAGAGGTGCAGTAGAGAAGAGGCAGTGCCCTCCTCTAAAATCAGAGCAGCAGGATGTCGCCAGCTGTCTTCTGAAATTTGACACACACATTGGTTCAGAACACATAGGAGGCAGCTACTTAGTTCACGTCAATGTTTCCTGGGTATTGGTGTTTCCAATTTGCAGTCTGAATGCATGAAAGGGGCCTTGTCAATTGTGTGCACTCTCTGTGGGAGAGAGATTTCTTTCCTTGCACGGTGTGTTTATAATATAAAAGTTTGGCTTCTATACTCCAGCTGTCGGAGAGCAAGGAGGGAGGGTAGCAGAAAAGTGTGTGTGTGTCCACTTGTGCTTTTCTCTGCTTGACTTGCTGTTACATAGAAGAGGCTGCAGTACAAAGGAAATCAGGCAGCTAATGTAAATAAGTGAAAGGAGGCATGTCTGTGCTGGTTGGCAGTGACTGTGCCATAGGAGAGGGCTTGTCCTGCCTCAAGTCCTGCAAGAGTTGTGAAATACTGCCCTGTTGATTACACACTTGGAGGCTGGTCTTGCCATTCTGCCTGTACCCCCACCTGGACTAATTGTCAACCCCTTGTAGCTTGATGGGTGCTATAAATTCAATGTTTGTGCCTTCACTAAATTCATATGTTGAAATCCTAACCCCCAAGGCGATCACATTATGAGGGAGGGCAGCTGGGAGGTGATTAGATCCTGAGGATGGAGCCCTTACGAATGGAATTAGTGCCCTTATGAGAGTTCCCAGAGAGCTTGCTATCTGAGGATACAGTAAAAAGAAAGATGCTGTCAACAAACCCAGAAAAGGGTCCTCAGCAAAACCCAACCATATTGGCACTCCCCTCTCAAACTTCCAACCTCCAGAACTATAAGGAATAAATTTCTGTTGTATATATAGCCTATGGTACTTTATTATAGTAACTCCCACAGACCAAGATAGTGGGCCACTTCAGAATGCAGTTTGGGGAGTTTTCTCCTCTGGGTGCAGCTGAACCTTAATTCTCAGAATCAGGCCTGTGACCCGTAACATGTATGCCACACCAAGCTGTGATTCATTTCTGACACTGCCACTCAGGCAGGATAGCATGTGCATAGTGGCCTCAGGGGAGGCCGCACCTTGTTTTTATAAAGGCAGGAATGAGGAGAGCCACCCCCTGGCCTGGTTCACTTCTCCAGTGTGCTTGTTAGGGTTCTTAGATTGCAAACTACAAGAATTGACCTTTCCTGGCTTAAACCAAAAGGAAACACATTAATTAGGAAATATGGGTGATTCCCAGAAACCAAGGGACAGCTAAGGAAGCAGGCTCCGGCAGGCAGAAGCTCGGGCTGCTCCAGGGATAACAGGTGACAGGAACACATCTGTGGGTCTCACAAGCAGCAGCCCCTGAATGAACCCTCTCCAGTTGCTTTCCCCTTCCTTGCATGACTCTGTTGGAGGTTCAGAGGCCCGGGATAGAAGTGGGAGTGTTGTGCTTGGTGTTGTGCTGTGGCTGGGGGAAGACAGGACACTTGGATAAATTGTCTGCCTGCAATTGAGGGGGTTAATTCCTCAAAAAGGAAGTTAAGCCGCTATGATGACAAGGAGTGTTGAGTGGCTGGAAAGCAACAAATGTCCACCACAATCTACTAGTGACACCTCGTGGGCAGTAATCAGTCGCCAGTCTTTTCTTCTCATCTAGGGTCTCTGTTGGCACTGCGGCCTCATGGAGAGTT